TGGCCCATGGGCCAGATGCGTCACATGTAGTCCACGCACACCCCAACCCCGCAAATGGAAAAACATCATGCAATGTCACGTGACGGCAACATGACACGTCGAGTTTGACATCCAAGGATTACAATATAGTACGTTGAGTTAAATTTGATAACTGATAGTTCATTTAGGAGGCTGAGGAAAGTCAGTTTTTTAATCCTGAAGAAAGAAAGTTATGCAGCAATAGCACTTAGACTTATATACCGCTTTACAGTTCTTTATAGACCTCTCTAAGCAGTTTACAGAGTCAGCCTATTGCCCCCAACAATCCGGGTCCTCATTTTACCCACCTTGGAAGGATGGAAGGATGAGTCAACCTTGAGCCTGGTGGGATTTGAACTGCCAAATAGTAGGCAGCTGGTAGTCAGCAGAAGTGGCCTGCAGTACTGAAAACCACTGCGCCACCGCGGCTCATCACATGATGCGCACGTCTGTGTGACCAAACAGGATATCTTCTCCCGGAATTAGTATTCCAGTTCTGCAGGCTTTAAACCATGTTCAACAATTCATGTCTCTTCCTGGTCTAGGTTGGAGAAAGAATTGGAACAACTGGAAAATGGGATCTCGGCATCTTCCACCAAAGAGAACATGGCTGAGGAAACAACCAGAGTGGTAGTCAAGGAAGAGAAGCTACCCCACACGCCGAAGGTCAGAATCAGCTTCTTTCTCTCATCATGGTCTCCACACAGGGTTGTTATGAGGATGGAACGAGAGACCCTCCCTGCCATGTCCCTATGGGCACCGTAGCTCACTGAAGACAGCTTAGCAGGGAAATCAGATTGCTAGATGAAAGCCAGGCCCCAGTTTTAACTAAAGCTGGACTCCCAACTTTTCCTTCTGATTTGGTTCATGGATACAGGATTTGCTTAACCCCGTCATGCAATGCCAACCAGAGAGAACTGACTCGGTTCTCATGTTTCTGAAAGGTTTTATTAAAAATGCAGGAAGCTGATTCTGTGTAATAGGGAAGCCTTTAAAAGCTTTTGCATGTACCCAGAATGCCACGCATGCAGCTTTGACTCACAGCCAAGATAAATGTGCAAAGAAACATCTTTTTCTTGTTCTATTTTGGTAACCTACCTATGTCTCTTCTTCCCACAGACTCCTCTAGGCTCAGCCAAAGGTAGGTGCCAACACAGATTGCACCTGCTGCCTTTTTAAAGAAAAATGTCTTGAATTTTGATTTTTAGAAATAGTAACTAGCAGCTCAAAATTATCTGTAGGGGGCAGGCATGATATACATAAAATAGGGGAAGTGTTTCAATTGTGTGGTTATGATATTTCACTTTTTTGAGCCCTCTACCCCACATAGGGATGCAGTGGCTCAGTGGCTAAAATGCTGAGCTTGTCAATCAGAAGGTTGGCATTTTGACGGTTCGAATCCCTAGCGCCGTGTAATGGAGTGAGCTCCCATTACTTGTCCCAGCTTCTGCCAACCTAGCAGTTTGAAAGCATGTAAAAATGCATGTAGAAAAATAGGGACCACCTTTGGTGGGAAGGTAACAGCGTTCCATGTGTCTTTGGCACTTAGTCATGCCGGCCACATGACCATGGAGACGTCTTCGGACAGCGCTGGCTCTTCGGTTTAGAAACAGAGATGAGCACCACCACCTACAGTTGGGAACGACTAGCACATATGTGCAAGGGGAACCTTTACCTTTATCTTACTTCACATAGATGCCCCTATTTAAGAGCTGCCTTTTCTTTCCTATGCCAAAAATTGTGCAGGAATCAATCAGGGATTCACCCCTTTTTAAAATAGTCCATTATCATCATCATCATCATTACCATCATCATCATCATTATGGCTACCCAAAATATAAATGTACATAACATTGGGGAAGGAATGCAGAAGTTGTTGGGGGAGCACCAGATGCAGAAAAAAAATATATACAGGGAGTCCTCAACTTACAACAGTTTAGTGTTTCAGTAGGGGGGGAAAGTGATTTATGACCATTTTTAACACCATTGCAGCATTCTTATGACTATGTGATCAAAAGTTGGATGCAATTGGTCCGTGATGGTTGCAGTGTCCGGGGGTTGGTGTTCACGTGATCATCTTTTACGACCTTCTGACAAGCAAAGTCAATGGGGAAGCCAGATTCATTTAACAACTGTATTACTCACTTAACAAATGCATTGATTCACTTAACCACTGTGGCAAGAAAGATTGTAAAATGGGGGAAAAACTCACTTAACAACTGTTTCACTTAGAAGTTTTGGGGCTCAATTGTGGTCATAAGTCGAGAACTGCCTGCATTAAGTCCAGAGAGGTGGAAAAGTGACAGAAGGAGATTCGGATTATTCCCCAAACTGACTCCTTGTAGTATGAACAGAAGGAAAGGGGAGACATGGGAAGACTTTCAAGAATCTATTATTATAGCCTTTTTCAAGGAAGTAGAGTCCTAATCTTCCTGTGGAGTCTGCTTCTTGATGTTGAAGGACTGATACCCAACCAGATCTTAGGGCTGAAACCTTGCTGGATGAGTACAACTTTAAGTTGCTTCTGAGAAGCAAAGAAGGTGGCCTTCCATACTTCTGTGGAAAGATGTCCCATAAAGTTTGAGTCATCTGCAAGAACATCTGTTCTCTATCCATACCTCCTGTACCTTGTGAGGTTGGGGGAACCTCAAGAGGTCCTCTACAATGGTGGCAGATGAGCAAGTTCTGTTTCAACAGAGCGTTGCTTGATATAACACAGTCCTATAATTTCTGCCCAATTGGTAGAGAATTGGCATCTCAGGATGCCTTGAATTGAACAAGACTATTTTTTGGGACCCAGATCTCTCCTGAACAAGATCTCTTCTGAGATCTGTATGGCTCCCATCTCAATGGCATTCTGGAGAGCTTTGAAGAAAAGGTTGTTCTTCCAGGCCTTCCAGGCCTTGGGGTAGGATGAGGTGGGACCCTTTGTTGGATGAGCTTTTGGACATGTTCTGCAATACCCTATTGGTTATTTAATATTGTATGGCTCATTTAATAATATGAGCAATGGTGGCGCAGTGGTTAGAGTGCAGTACTGCAGGCTAGTTCCGCTGCCTGCCGGCTGCCTGCAATTTGGCAGTTCAAATCTCACCAGGCTCAAGGTCGACTCATCCTTCCATCCTCCCAAGGTGGGTAAAATGAGGACCCAGATTGTTGGAGGGCAGTAGGTTGACTCCGTAAACCGCTTAGAGAGGGCTGTAAAGCACTGTGAAGCAGTATATAAGTCTAAGTGCAGCCCTCTGGAGGCTGAAAACGCCCTCCCAGAGCTTCCGCATGAGCCCTGTACTTACCTGGGATCAAGTGGAAGCTCCTGGGAAGGGAAGGGCAGCGTGGACACCCAGCTGAAAATTAACTGGCCACCGCGCACATACGCGCTAGAATGAGCTAGGGCACCGCTGGCGTGCCCACAGATATGGCCACATGTGCCACCTGTGGCACGCATACCATAGGTTCGCAGAAGATTAAAACGACAAAGCATAATACAAATCATCATCCCTAGACATTTCATATGCAATTCATACAGACCAAAACAAAGAAAAAATCCTGTATTTCGCAGCACTGCAGGTTCCAGTTCCTTTCCAAAGGCAGGTCCAGATAGGTCATGTCGCAGCAGTCTAAACAGCAGTGCTGCAAATGGTTTGTAATTTTAAAATGCTGCCTCGATCCCTTCCCCTTTTTATGGAGGTCATTTGACTACGATTGCCCTTCTCAAATTAAACGACCTGCTGGTGAATTGATGTTCATATACCATAACATCTTAGTTTATATATGGTTGGGTAGTTTGTAGTTTGGCGTGTAACATGATTCTGGGCAATTGGATCAGGGTACCCACAGGCCTCCACTTATGATGACAATGGAGCTTGGAATTTCGATTGTAAGGCACTGAGGTCATAACTCAAGGCACCACGTGACCGAACTTGATTTTACGACCATTTTGATCACAGATGGGCTGGGGAATTCTTGGAACTGAAGCCTTAAATTTGCTGAGGTCGAAGAATATTGATTTAGAATTCTGGAAGCCAAAGCTTTGAATGATAAGAAACGTTGAAGCTTTTGCCAATACAAAGAGCAGACAAGGACAAGTTACTCCTCGACTTACGATGACAATTGAGCCCCAAATTTCTGTTACTAAGAGAGACATTTGTTCAGTGAATTTTGCCCCATTTTACGGCCTATCTTGCCACAGTTGTTAAGTGAATCATGGCAATTGTTAAATTAGTGACAGGATAATCTGGCTTTCCCATTGAAAGGGAATCGCATGACCCCGGGACACTGCAACTGTCATGGATATGAGTCCTAAGTTNATGTGCGAGGGGAAGCTTTACCTTAAGCTCCGAGGCATAATGGGTGAAGCGTGGGGCTGGCAAAAAGGAGTTTGGCTTTGAAAAGTGACGCGGGAAGGGTTGGCTGCCCTGTCTGGAGGTGGCCTCGCGAAGGACTAGAAACTTTCTCTGTCCAAATGGGGGAATTTTGAAATTGGATCCGTGGGGCAATTTCTGAAAGGAATTAATAACTCATATTAGCAATTAATAACGAGCCTTCCTTCCTTCCATGTCCCTGTCTCCAGCAGGCGCCCCTCGAGATGGCTTTGCCCGACCGTTAACACGCTGGGCCTCGCGAGGAAGGGGGCACCGACCCAGAAATCCTGGCAGGAGGCGGAAGGGGAACAGAATCCCCCAGGCCCATTACATTCCTGCAAGTAAGTTGGGTTTAGCTGATTGGGAATAAAAACTCCAGAGCCCAGAGTGCCAGCCTGTCGGCCAGGCCCTTTCTCGAAGCACACCCTTACGTTATTTTCACCCATCTGAGATTCCTTCTGAGTTCTAGTCCTGCCTTAGGCATGGAAGCTAGTTGGGTGACTGGAACAATCACCAGGAGACGGGGAGTTCTAGTCCTGCCTTAGGCCTGAAAGGCAACTGGGTGACCAATCACCAGGAGACGGGGAGTTCTGGTTCCGTTTCATCACGAAAGGTGCTGGGTGACTTTGGGCCCGTCCTTCCCTCCTTCTCAACCGTCTCTTCTCCTCTCCTCTTCTCTTCTCTCTTCCTCTCCGCTCCCCTCCCGTCTCTTCTCCTTCCTCTCTTTTCCTCTCCTCTTTTTTCTTCTGTCTTCTCCTCTCTTTTCCTCTCCTCTCCTCTCGTCTCTTCTCTTTTCTCTTCTCCTCTCTCCTCTCTCCTCTCCTTGTCTCTTTTCTCTTCTCTTCTTTCCTTGTCTCTTCTCTTTTTTCCTCTTCTCTCTTCTCTTTTCTCTTCCTCTCCGCTCCCCTCCCGTCTCTTCTCCTTCCTCTCTTTTCCTCTCCTCTCCTCTCTCCTCTTTTTTCTTCTGTCTTCTCCTCTTTTTCTCTTCTCTCCTCTCCTCTCTTCTCTTTTCTCTTCTCCTCTCTCCTCTCCTTGTCTCATTTCTCTTCTCTTCTTTTCTTGTCTCTTCTCTTTTTTCCTCTTCTCTCTTCTCTTCTCTTTTCTCTTCCTCTCCTCTCCCCTCCCGTCTCTTCTCCTTTCCTCTCTTTTCCTCTTCTCTTTTCTCTTCTCCTCTCTCCTCTCCTTGTCTCATTTCTCTTCTCTTCTTTTCTTGTCTCTTCTCTTTTTTCCTCTTCTCTTTTCTCTTCCTCTCCTCTCCCCTCCCGTCTCTTCTCCTTTCCTCTCTTTTCCTCTTCTCTTTTCTCTTCTCCTCTCTCCTCTCTCATCTCTCATTTCTCTTCTCTTCTTTTCTTGTCTCTTCTCTTTTTTCCTCTTCTCTTTTCTCTTCCTCTCCTCTCCCCTCCCGTCTCTTCTCCTTTCCTCTCTTTTCCTCTTCTCTTT